ACCCTCTAGTGTTCCTTTAAATACAGTGATTAGTAAACATAATATTAGAAATGTAGGGTAGTGACAGTTTCCCTTTAACCTTCAGTTGAAATTAAAAGTTGGGACTGGATATAATTGTTGCTAATATTAAGATGGTTATTCACCAAGTTAAGAATTGTTGGGAATTCAAAGAGAATTTCAAATTTAAGGTCAACGTAGCTAAACCAGACGCATAGTTGACTTCCAGATTTTTTTAGTTCCAACTGGCTTATATTTAATTTATTAAAATTACTGCCTAGTTGAAAGTATATGAATGCCATGAATCAAGGTATACTTGCTGGAGCTGATTTTGAATGTTTTTATTTTATTTGGTTTCCACACTCCCTTGTCCAAATAAACACACACAAATAAATAAAATAAAGCCACTTATTAGTAGATATACCCTCAATGAAAACACATTCATTTAAATATGCTTTTTTGTACCATTGGGGATATATCTAAAACAGCTCTTATCTGAAGCCTTTGCAAGCCCTATCCTTCTAACCCTGCCCAGATTTCTTTGGCTGTCTAATCACAGACTTCTCAAAGCAGCTCTATGAGAAATCTTTGTAAGGTAGGTGCTCTGCGCAATTGCCTTCCTCTTAAGTTTATCTTCAGTGAGCTAAACAAACCAGGAAGTAACAGGCCCAGTTAATTAATTTATAAAAGTGCTAATTTCTATTTAAATCTGCACTTTTTGTAAAATGAAAAATAGGACACACTCTTCACACACAAAGCATTTCAGCAAGCTAAAGTGCATTTGGGGTCTTGAGTGTCCCTTTATTCATAATTTCATCATTTTTAAATGTTTTTTTTATTTATTTGATATGATTACAATATAACTCAGCATGCTTTCACTATACACCATGTCTATTGTTTTGTAATGCAGTGTCCCACTTCATTCATAGGAGTTCTGATACATAAAACATAATGTAATTATGTATTCTGCTAACACCATAATCGCTGACCCTTCCACTGCTCTCATCTATGCATTTTGATCTCTTATTATTTCATTATTATCATCTTTGTTTTGAATTTGCCTTTTTGTTATAGTCTGCATGTATGAATCATCTGGAAGTTATGTCACGGTTATGTAATTGTTTAATTCCACATGATATGGTTCCATTAATGTTTCCACCTGGGGAGATACACACACATACAAATTGGTGTTTTTATGGCCAGCTCTAACCTGTGGAAAGTACTGTTGCACGATGCAGAATATGTTCCGACTATGTCTCACTGACGCACGTTTACTCATAATCCATGCCTGGATTGTTCTAACATTCAGCCTACAAGCCCTGCAAAAAGACATATCTTTATTGAATAATTGTTTGTGTTTGGAGAAATGTAATAATATCTTTATTTTAAAAGGTCAGGTCATTTTAGGTCTATTTCCCTTTCACTAATAGCTAGCCTCCCAAACAAGAGTGTATCATTTTGCATATAGGAAATTGTATTGTCTAACGCAGGGGTAGGCAACCTACGGCACTAGTGCCATGCATGGCACTCGAGGTGCCTTTGCACGGCACTCAAGGCTGCTAGAGCCAAACAGGCTCTGGCCTATCAGTAGTCCCAGTAAAACATCAGATATCTGCTAATACGAAGAGGTGGTGAAGGACAATCCTCAATTTATGCATTGCAGCACGTAGAGGAAGTGATCTCAGAGCACTTCATTCCAGCACTTGTGAATGGGAATCCACACAGTATTAGAGCAGCTTGCAGTTGTTGTTGTTGCAGCTCCTGTCCTTGACCTGTACCTGGCTGGCCTGGTCCCCACTGGAACCCAAGGAAGCCACCCACACTGCTAGATATACACAGAAATGCAGAATAACCCTCCCCTCATACAAATAATACGGACAGCCCACACACAATCCGCGCAAACGCAACACCACTAACAATCCACATACATGCACACAACTCCACATGCAGCCTTTCACATGCAATACCCCAAACAGCCACCACACACTACCAAACACACAATCTGACATATCCATCCACACACACACACAATTCCACAAGCAACCCCCATACACAGCCCACATTTATATGTATCATACACAATACCATAAACTACTCATGAACATATACAATATAATAGCTCATATACGCACAAATACAACAATAAAAAGCAATTACAGTAAAAATGACACAAGCAGAATAGAATACACACCTCAATTTAAAAAAAAAAATAGGACCGGCACGCTACGGGACATCACAATCCTATATCGGCACAGTGCTACTAAAAGGTTGCCTACCCCTGGTCTAACGTATTCTCCCAAAGGGGCACATGTTAGTTATAAAAGGCTTTTCCATCCCAGTTTTTCTTTGGTTCATACATTGATCCCTTCATTTACAGTGATTTATGCCCTGCCCATTGACCCTTATGGTAGTCCAAAAACATAATGAATATTCTTTACAGGAATCAAGAGATACTTTACATTCTTTTTCTAATCCCACACTGTGTTCCAAGGAATTTGGAATCTGTCACCTTGCCTTAGGGCCCAGTAAGCGTGAAAGATGACCCTACTTGTTAGATCTCCAATATAACCCAAAGTAGACCATGGTCTCCTCTCACATGTCCATGAAATAAACTGAATGCATATATAGACTGTAGTTTTAAAAGGTGGGTTTAGGAGATCAAGTTGGACTTATTTTGTGACTGTATATAGTTTATAGTATTTCTACTCGAGATTAGAGATAACCATTTGAGAACAAAATGTTTTCCAGTTAAATTGTATTTACATGTCAATACAGAGTCAATATTACAAAACAAAATAGTACAAAAACAGAGCCACAAGACATAACAGGAAATAATCATAGGTGTAGCTCATTTATAATGCTTCCAGCCCTCGCATATAAGGAGGGATACAGCAGGCTTTTGATAACATCAGTATAACCTCTTGTTTAGCTCATCCCAAGGTTAATCTCTAAAAATATGTTATGTAATCAAGAACAGGAGATGTGACGGTGTACGGGTGCTGTGTTGATACAGTCTTAGATGAGTGGCAGGACCTAGGGAGAACCAAGAGGTTTTAATTAAAAATATTCATAACTGGCATTTTTGGCTTGCAAGGCAACACAAATCCATCGATTGGTGATAATTGCACTGGGAACTGACATTATTTGTACTGGGCTGAATCTGCCACCCATGTAAATATCAAGTAATATAGCTAGTCACATGGCTTTTAGTAAACCAAATAATGTGTGAAGTGAAAATAGTGTTGGCACAGAAGAATGCCACCGTGCCCCCTTGTCAGTCAATGGCTCTGCATTTTATATATTTTCTTGTGAGCTCTCAGCGACTCCTTTAGTAAGTTTTTTTATAGTTACATCGTTATTCCCTAATTGAGAATTCCAAGTGAATTCAAAGAGAATGTTAACTTTAAGGTCATCTATGCTTTCGGTTTGGCTACTCTGGCCTTAAATCAGAATTCTCAGATTCTCTTTAGTGAATAATCTTTATGTGTTATCAATGTATGTAATGATACTGCATGACGTGGTCTCTCATTAATTGGTTTGTAGGGTGTACCAAGGGGCACTCTTATCAAAGTGAGTTTCCAATCAGTGGCTCCCGATTCATAAAACTGGCTTGGAAAAGGTATGTTTCTTTCCAATATGTGTATGGTCCCAGCTCCTGTGAGTTTGAAAATAAAGAAAGGTGGATCTATTAACCCTTGAGGTGCTGTACTCTCATAGCATTTAAAAAAAAAAAAAATGTAATTCTTTATTTTTCACTCGATAGGCATGGCAAGCATACATTGACATTTGGGCTTGCACAGAAGCCAACATGAATATCATACTTGGTAACATAATGCCATTTAAGTACACAATACAATCCGGTCCTTTATCCCGCTGAGACTTGCCTCCCATCGAGGGGTTTTTATTTTTAATTCAGGCATTTAGGCAGCATAAGGAGCCCTATCTCCTCTCATGACTAACCCTGCCCATGGGCTTCCCAGTTCCTCCGACAGCTTGATCATACCTGGTATAAAATACCGTTCCCTTAAAAACCAAGGAAGGAAAAATAAAATAAAATATAAAACAAAAAAGAAATGAGAAGATGAAAGTCTAGGAAAAAGAATAGAAAAAAAATAGAGTCGGGAAAAGATGAGAATAGAGACTTGGGGGGGGTGGAGGGCCTCCCTATTCACAGTAATATGGACACGTTCTCCTTGAGGGGGGGCCTGCTATGGCTAGTCTGAGTCCGCTCTCCTATCTGGTCCCTGTCAATCTCATCTCGAGCCAACCAAGCTATTGTCCCATGGTTCCCAAAGTCTTTGGAAAGCCGCCGTCATCCCCTTTACCCAAGCTGTCAAGTCGTCCATAATTCTACATTCTCTTATCCTGGAAATCACCCCTGAGAACACTGGGCCCTCTGGTGATAGCCATGCGGTCGCTATTGCTCTGCGCGCACTTAAAGTTATCTTATGTACTAGCTTCTGCTCTCTCCTGGTCCACCCTTCAAATGATCTATTTAACAGGTATATCCATGGGTCCATATCCAGGGGTCTTTAAATGTCTCTTCCAGCAAATCCTCCACCGCTATCTTCGGGCAGTCCCACCACATGTGAACTGCGTATCTTTGGGCAGTCCCACCACATGTGAACATAGCATATTTTATGTTTGGTTTTAGGCAAGTCTGCTTAAATCTAAAGAGGAAGGGTAATATCTTGTAACTGTTGCCATTTATACTCTGTAATTGGTGTGGGGAAATGAGTGCACTGACACAATTATTAGTTATTACATGACTTTTAGTTCATACCATAAGAGTGGACTTGTTAAGGTCAACATACTTTGGGAGATTCCTTTATTACTGAATTTAGTAAAGGAATAGTTCTGCTGACATGGATCCAGAAGAGGTTAACAAGCTGATAAGATGACCCATTCTTGACTTTAGTTGCAACAGCAGGAAAACTGACAAACCCAGAGTTAGAGCCGATCCTGGGTGGGTGCAGATTGGCCAGGTGCTCTGTAGATGGGCAGGGTGTGCAGCGCTAGGCTCTGCTCTCTCAGGTAAGTCCCGCACACTCAGCTGCCCATCACTGATCTCGAGGAGCGGGGCCTGGGCGATCTGGACCCATCCAGGCTTGGCTCTGCCCAGAGATTTAAGCTAGCTACATTCATTTACACCTTAGCTAAAACATGGGATAGAGGTATAAATCAGGGCCACCTTCAGAGGGGTACAGGTAGTACACTTGTAAGGGTGCCGTGCCCCATATGGCCCCCCCAAATTTAAATATATATATATCCACTATACACACACTGCATCCACTATATACAAACTGCGTACACCACATACTGCATACAATACATACACACACTCCATCCACTACATACACACACTGCATCCACTACACACACACTGCATCCACTATGTACACACTGCATCCACTATGCACACTAAATCACCTGCACACACTGGATGTTCTATACACATACATTACATTCCCTAGACACACACAATACATCTCTACAAGCATACACTACATTACCTGCCGCAGCTCAAAGTGCCTGCGAAATGGTGGTGGGGTGGGGGGTGCCATTGGTCCAGGCCTTGAGCTGTGTAAGGGGCCACAAAATTTCTGATGGCAGCCCTGGAGGTTTTTAAACTAGAAACTAGATCAAAGTGGAGTGATAAAAAATAAAGGGGAAGATTTTGCTTTAAAGAACACCATCAGCAACATAACCACTGCAGCCCATTGTAGTAGTTATCCCCGCTTATGTAATTAGTCAAACCATATGCTGTTCTTATCTGGGGTCCACCAAGTGCTGCTCTACAGCTGGAAGCTCTCTTCTCTGAGCTAAGCCTGATCAGCTGATATTCTCAGACAATCAGCCGGCCCTGTACTGGAGGACTTAGCTCTGCAGGTCTAGCAAAAGCTTCTAGCAGGAGCTTCCATCGCTCAGTTTCGGCTCCAGAAAGGCATAGCTTTGTGCCAGGTAAGAAATCCAATTTCTAGCAGTTTGACTTCATACATTGGGGACATTTGGGTGTTTATGGTGGTTTTAGTGTTAATCATGGAATTTTAGGTACTTTATGGAAAATAGGAAACAAGATTTATAATAATTCCATGGGTTCTACATTTGTTCATAAATAACATAGAAAAAAAGTCCTCTGTTAAAACTGCTAATAAACAAAAAAAAAAAAATCACTTCCCTTTAATTAGTAAATGCCAAAGTGTGTTTCTTCATGACCTTTCTACCAGGGAATGTACCTGTGAGCCAAAATGAAAGTGAAACTGTGTTGGGGAAATATTGGAAACGTCATTCTGAAAATGAGTTTCTCCTTTAGATCATCAAGTACATTTTCATACTGTTCACACAGTGAAATTGCAATCATTATAAAAATATACCAAGTATTTTGTAATGAAAATGAAAATAAAACACTTAAAATTAAAAAAAAAAACACTTACTGTGGGATAAATTCATTTGACAAAGCTACAATGTTTATATGAATTGTTTAGTGGCTCCACATCCTGCGGGCTCTCCTTATATTGTGGTTTTGACCACACAGCGAGAGCTCTTATGAAGCCTGACGTCAAGACAAGAGTTGTTTATAATGGGGGTTGCTGAAAAAGATAATCTTTCACGTAGTTTTCTATACGGAGACACATGTCTTTCACTTGGAAGAGCAATCTTCATTTATAAGTCATAAGAAGCGTATAAGTTATAGGAAGTATGGAGTATGTGAACCAGTACGGAGTACAATAAAGTGAGTTGAATATCCTCTCCAATATTAAAAACTGCAGGTTAGCAGCCCAAGCACCCAATAACACATTGCTGGGCTAGCGGAGACCCTGCACAAATCCTGCCCACACCTTACTCAAGATAATTCTGCCTCTTGGCTTCCAAACACACCTCCACTTTCTTTTATTTCGAAGAATGCCACTGCGATGCTGTGACCCTCAGCCCATGCATTCTAATAGTCCAAGGAGCAATTGACCACCCAAATCTTTGTATCTCACTCTCAAGCATATCAGGTCTGCCATGGCCTATTGGAAGGTATGGCAACCACCTACATATATTTGAATTTGGATATGTGTTATTTTCTATCAGCTGTAAGACATTTCCAATTATTTTTATGACACCCCACCTACATCTTATGGCCGTGGCTCCTCAACCTGTTCGACCACAGGGGCCTAAATCCCACAACAGATTGCAAGATCCCACATAGGAATGAAGGGAAAGGCCTTACATCTGCAACTCTTGGTAGGCTATGGAAATGGAAAAGAGAAAGATGTTGGCAGCACGGGTGCAAGAGAGAGAAGGAGGATGGGAATATGAAGAGGAGGGATGAAGGTAATATAAGGAAGGGTTGAAACAAATATAAAACATAGCAGGAAATAATTATGTGAGTGGGGTTTAACTGGGAGAGAGGAAGCAAAGAAAGAAGTTCCAGATTTTGAAACTAAACAACGTGTTCGATGTCTAATACATTATTTACAGTAAAGTAACTAATGTAGGATTTCTTAAAAATCAGCAAAATAATTCACTAAACACCACAGTGTGGAGATAAAAAAAAAAACTGAATTGTAAAATTTGGGCTAAAATATCAAACCTGTGACTATAACAAAGCTGAAATAAATCCAAAGTGGCCTAAATTCAGTTATTGATTCATGACAGGTGTATAGTCGCCATTTTGGGCAGTCGGAATCCAGGACAATCACCCCATATCCTAACCCAATAACGCACGGACACTAAGGGATATGGGAAATTTTGTCCACAGCTTTATTAAGCAAACAATAATAATAACAATGATAATAATAATAATAACTTAACAAGTAAAACATGGGTCATTGCCCCCCATACTCCGCCCTCGCATCCTATTCCTTCCATTAACATATAAAGGGCAATGACCCCCATATAAATAACACATATATATATATATAACATACATCAACATTATTCCAATACCGATGTAAAGTGCCAACCATCCATTAACCACGGCAGGGGTATACCCGGATACCCCTACCCCACCAGGTTCTGAGCCACCGACAGGACTCGAAACCTATCAACCACCGATGACCACCACTTGTTTGTTTTCCATTACGTTCATCCTGGGGAGCCTATTTCCTTGCCTTCAGCTCCCCATCCTGCCATAAGCTCAGACCTTGACCCCTTAAGCTGTCTGAGCTCCGCCACCCCGAAGAAATAGTGCCCGCTGCATACCATCCTGCCAACCCAAGTTTAGCAGATCCCAACCCACCTCCGAGAGATGAACCCCATCCGAGCGGTAGTACCCCGGCAACCCATCTTCCAACTCGCCGTGCCGTACCACCACTCCCCCCACCTTCCTAACAAAGCTTGCCATCAAGCTGTTCACTTTTTTCCTGCACTGATTGATAGCCACCGGATCCCGCGCGTGCCGCCACCGACGCCTTGGGACGATCTCCAACCACACTAACATAACCCCCGGAAGCAGGACCCTCAGTTTGTTGATGTCCTGCTTCATCCATTTCACCAACCGTCGTTGCGACGTGAGACCCAAGTCGTTACCCCCGGCATGAAGGACCACCAGGTCCGGAGTTTTCCCACCCGCAACCATCCTAAACATTGCCCCACAAACCTCCCCCCAGCAAAATCCCCGATACCCAAACCATCGGACTGCCAACTGGTCCTTCGGAAAGCCCAAGTGTGAGGGAAAGGCAAAGGGAAACTCCCCCCT